AGCGCCTCCCCCCGCAAAGCGTCACATAGTCATGATACATTCATTCGCAATGTAGGTGGGCCTTATCATCCACCTTTCTGGCGTTGTCACAAGCTGCGGGGGGGGCTTTCCTGGAAATGCAGTTTTGCATGGCATTTACAATGTCTTTTGCTTATGCACATGGATACGGGGGGTTGTATTGCAATCGCGCGCCATACTTATACAATGCTTGATTGGATACCTTCCTTGCTTGCTGCCTGGCTGGCTGTCTTGCTGGCTCCCTGCATGGCTTGCTCACCTTCTCGCTTCGCTGACTGCCGTGCTTCCTCCCTTGCTCGCTCGCTCGCTCGCTTGCTCGCTTGCTCGCTCGCTCGCTCGCTCGCTCGCTTGCTGGCTTGCTGGCTTGCTGGCTTGCTGGCTTGCTGGCTTGCTGGCTTGCTGGCTTGCTGGCTTGCTGGCTTGCTGGCATTGCGGGCTGCTGGCTGGCTTCGGCTTGGCTTGACGTGCTTGCGTTGCTGAAGTGCTTGGTGCTTGCGGTGCAGTGTGCGTGATCTTTGCTTGCTTGGCTGCATGCTTGCATGCGCATGCCTGCGATGTGTGCCACTTGCTTGCAGTGCTTGCTTGGCTTGCTTGAGTCGCGGCTTGGGCTGCGGTGCGGTGCGCTGCTTGCGGATGCTTGCGTGCTTGTGTGCTTGCTGGCTTGCTTGCTTGCTTGCTTGCTTGCTTGCTTGCTTGCTTGCTTGCTTGCTTGCTTGCTTGCTTGCTTGCTTGCTTGCTTGCTTGCTTGCTTGCTTGCTTGCTTGCTTGCTTGCTTGCTTGCTTGCTTGCTTGCTGGCTTGCTTGCTGGCTTGCTTGCTTGCTTGCTTGCTTGCTTGCTTGCTTCCTTGCTGCCTTGCTTGCTTGCTTGCTTGCAGGCCAGGACTGTGATGAGGTAAACCCAATGCCATAAACCATTGGAATCCCAGTAATCAACGAATACCAAACCCCAATATTGGATGCTTGAATATTTACCTCATTACCGATCCTATTACGGGGATGTCCCCTTTTCTCCCCGTTTCGCCAGCACAATTTCACCTTAGCATCAAGCATGCGAATCCCATGTAAAAGAGGATTATGGCATAGATGCTCTGGAGACAGACGTTCACCACGCAAATCGGACAGACGCCGATGGACTGACCAGGGCATGGCAAGAATTCTATCACTGGGTACCATCAAACATGGCTGGTGACAAACATGGCTGGTGTCAAACATGGCTGGGAAATCCCGTATACAGCCTATACATGGAGGCTTGAAGGGAATTTTTGAGACTTTTGTGCAACGCAGCATGGATTCTTGATTACTGTCATCGACAAGGCATGTCACATCGTGTCACCTTCACTACCCAAGAAGAAGTCCGAAAGATGTTGACTCGTGAGACACTTGAACCCTTCAAACACTTTTACTAAAGCTGCAAAGGTGCCAGATTATCATCAAGAAGACAAAATCTCAGGTTGCCAGAATATCATGGCCCGTCATTTTCCAATCCATCTCCCTTTGAAAATCCCCTTTTCCGGCGCACGCTGATCGCAGTAGCCACTGCACCACATGCCCAAAACATCATGAGAAGGCCCCAGAAGAGCAAGATGGGTGGGCATTCGCAACAAGCAATGATACAGCCTGAGGCACCAGGCACTCAAAACCCCAGATCGCTTTCTCAGGAAATGGTTCAAGAGAAAACAGGAGTGGCTTTGGAGTGACCAGCATTTCTCCAATTGGAACAGGGATCGTCCAAGAGGTGCATCAAGCTTTCTCTGTCTTTCAGCTGTGCCAAGGAACAAAAGCAGCCATCCTTTTTCACAACGCCGAACCACCCGAGGTGGGCGAAGATGTAGCCCTGAGGCGTTGCGGAGGTCCCAACCCGGATAGGATTACCACCGCTGTGGCAACAATGCAACCTCAAGGTCTCACAAGGGTTCAAGCTTCCAAAAACTTAAAATATTGCAGCTGCTCAGGAAAGGTGTGTCTCAAAACTAGTTGATCAATATTGATCAATGCTAATCATCATGTTCTCTAGGGCCCTACTAAAGTTATCTAAAATTGCCATATCATGTGGCCATGACTCATATTAATTGGGAAAAGCCCCGTTCTCAGACACCCGTGGGCGGCTGCCGAGTGGCAAAAATGATCTGCACGCAACAGATCCAGGTAGCATTCACGATGCCCACCTGGTGTGATGATTGCAACACATCGGTATGTTCAAGAGTGGGAGAAGCCTTAAAAATCCCTTTAAACAAATGTTATTTTAATAGAAAAACATGAACAACCAATCTTGGCATTGGGGTTCCCTATTTGCAGACAGAGCCACACATATCTTTTTGAAGTCCAAACATCTCCGCTGGCACACTGAGACTGAGACTTCCAATCATAATCAAGGTTTGAAACAAGCAACTGTGATGCAAATGAAGCAAATTCCAAATCTTACCTTAGATTCATCCATTTTCCATCATTTTCCATTGCCATGTACGGGTACCCTACCCGCCCTACCTTTCCATCCACGATATTGATGATGGTGGAAGCAATGGCCACCATAATGGCGAAGTACAACTGGAGGATGCCCCACCTCGATGGGCTGGGGAAAACTAGACTTCCGGGTCGTCAGGACTAAGGCGACTAAGGCTATAAGATGCGGACTAAGGCTACTAAGGCACTCCCGGAAAGCCGTACACCAGTCGGAATGTTTGCAGGTCAACATCGTTTTGAGATGGTGGCAGAAGCCAGGCTTCTTCACGTAGCCCGAGTATTCCTCACATGTGCCTGGAGGTCATGCAAGGCTGCTATTTTATGCTAGTTTGATATCTTCAGAGTCGTTCTTGATGTGCAACTGAATCACAACTCACTCGGAACTCGGAACTTCATTCTTTGTGCCAAAAATCAAGGGGCAAAGGTGTGTAAAAAGTATGGACAAGTCTAAGTGGAAAAGCAACGATACGCCTGCGCCTACGCCTGAAAAACCACGATGCATCCAGACATATCCAGACATATCCAGACAACCCAGGTGCCTGTGTATTCCTGCAGCAATTTGGTGTCCAAGAAATGCAGGACACATGGCTTCGACATTTTGTCCCAAGTTCTGGCACGGAGTTGGAGGCGTTGTGCCTTCGATAAACAGCTTGAGCTGAAACTGGCCGCCACCATACGTCCTTCCAACTCAAATACCAACCTATGGATAACATGGAAAGATCCTGAAAGATCTACATCCAAAAGCATGAGGAGTCTCAGGTCCTGTTTCAGTGCATTGGCTGAAATGCAAGTCAGAATCTTCAACCAATTGTGCTGCGGCAACTCCTATCCACATCAGATCAGCTCGGACTGAGGGCCATGCATGAGGCGTCAGCTGGTGCGATGTCCATCGGAAGCATCCGTCCTATACATCTCTCCAGAGTCTCCCAGTCCTACAGCGCTGTGGGCTACTTCCTTCAAAGTTTGAACAGGTGAGCAGAGAATACAACTCTCGAAAGCTAGTGTATCATGATGTATCATGAACCTATGAGTACTTTGGAGTATTGTACTGTGATGTACTGTGGTAACCCCAATGGATCCCAATGGCATAAACCATCTGGATCCATCTGGGGATGCATAAATCATCCATTCATGGTTACATTGATTACATTGCAGATTCTTCAGATGGTTTATAATTGGTGTTACCATGTGTTACCACATTTCATAAATGTCATTGATGTGTCCAGTTGCACGGCGTGTCCCTCGTGCCCTTTGGCCCATGGAGCCCATGGCTGTGCGGTGGGCGACACGTGACCCGACCTCACGTTTTTTTTACATGTTGAGATTCCAGTAGGTTCCTGCTGCTGCATGGTTATCCAGATTGATCCAGTAATGGACATGGCTTGGCCATGTTGGGATCCACTCTCTACTGGAAACTAGTTTTCATAGGCTTCAAAGAGCGCGCAATCTTTTGGACTCAGACAAGTTTCATCCAAGTCTCAACAGAAGGCTTGCAATCGCCAACCGGGTATCTTAAAAGTTGAAGTTTCTGGTGATGTGAACATCTCTGGATTGGGCCCCACTTCGATGATCTTCGATGCAAAGTTTGCATCCACTTTCTACAGAACCCCACCATGGCCACAACTTCCATTGCAGCCGGTTGGAATGGATATTTTACCAAAATCAACCCGGACAAAAGCATCACTGAGATGTGTCCTCCATTTAACGCATATTCGATAGCAAAAATCACCAAAAGTTGCCTGTTGAAAACTGGTACAGAGATGTGCTAGGTATCAGGATCTTTGCCTGACCTGGCACTTTCACTGGCGTGCTTTTTTTCCGAGAATATCTATATACAGGAAACCACCAATTTGACCATCAAAATATGAAGGGGTTCCACGAATTTCCACAGTGTTCACCTATTTCCTGCTATTTCTTGTGTTTTTTGGGAATATCTACAGGACGCCATAATTTTCCATACTTTTCACCAGCAAATATCCTGTTGTTTGCCTCATTTGTTCCGCAACCAATTCTGGCACCGCTGGTCCTAGTCAAATGCATAGGCCAAGCGACGAATCTGCCCCGATCCCACGCGCTGCGCGGGGCTCAAGGCAAAGATGGTGTTCACTTGATCCTGGAGCTCCGACAAACAACAAATTCATCGGCGACTGTTAATAGGGAAAATTTTGGGAGCTAACCAACAAACATCGGGGGTATTGAGGATCGGGAGAAGACACTGGGTGTATTTTTGGGGAGATATTTTTGCAACACATGATTTTGGGGTGCGTCTGAAAATGGTGTCCCTCCAAAGAGACTTGTTTCATCATTTTTCATGGTTACCTGGGGTGGTTTCAACCATCCAAACCACCATGAACACCATCCCAATGGTGCACGGACCGGGGGGCAACTGAACATCTGCCTACGAGTAATTAATCTGTTATAAACAGTTTCACAATCAAAAACTGGATTTCACAAAGTGAATGCGTAGCGTTATCATGGCCGTTTCCAGCTACAAGCTTGAAAACAATGATTAATTTAAAATGTGAAAAAAATGTGAAGAAAAACATTTTGAAAATGCGCTTGGAAAAAAATGTGAAAAAAAAAGCATTTCGAAAATGTGAAAAAAGTGCGAAAAAAGTGTGAAAAATGTGGAAAATGTTGAAAAACAGGAAAATACAGTTTTTAATACTTTTCCTAATTTAAATTTTAAAAAAAGACATTCATTGTGAACCTATTGGCATGAATCATTAAAAATGAATATATGCTTATGTGGAATCCTAATGTTTAAGTTTAATATTCTATAATTTAAAATTGGATTTCAAAGAAAACCTGAAAAAAAAAAAACAATATCTGGAAAATAAAACGGGAAAAATGGTGCTAAGAAACAGGAACTTTTCAACTGCCTTTTGTTCCCATTTGTTCACATTTTTTCACATTCTATTCACATGTTTTTCACATGTTCAAGACGCATTTGTTCACATGTGTTTCCAAACGCATTTTCAAAACGCAGTTGTTTTGCATGTTTTCACATGTTTCACAAAAATGTAAAAAATGTTTTTTAAAAAAAAAAGTGTTTTGAAAATGCGCTTGGAAAAAATGTGAAAAAAATGCGTTTTGAAAATGCACTTGGAAAAAAACGTGAAAAAAAAACGTGAAAGAAAAAAATGTGAAAAAAATGTGAAAAAAACACATTTGAACATCCAGTTGGGAAGGTGGAACTTGGATTTTTTGGGGTCCAGTTTTGCTGCAGTTACTTTGCTGCCTGCCCAACTTCTGCAGGTTGAAAATCGGAGAGGAGCAGTTCAAATCGATCGGAAGTGGACTGTGCAGATCGCAGATCTGCTTAATATCTGCAGCAAAGCAATGACTACCAGGAGCAAAAACATAAAATCAAATGCAGAAGGAAAAGGAACAAAGCTTCAAAATTGCTTTAAAAAAATCATTTGTTTCACATTGTTTTTACAGTTTCAAAATCGATTTGTTTCACATTTCAAAAATAATGCATGTTTAAAACACATTTTTAATTCAAACTACTACAACCCTTCTGTAGCTCAGTTGGCCTTGATAAGCGTAGCGCTGGCCATGGAAAAAAACGGGGATGTGGCAGTTCAGCCTGAGCGTCCTTGGCCGAGAATTTCAACCCCGAATGATTCGCTATCCCTGAAAATCTTGGCTTCAAATGAATTTTCCAAGCAGAAACCGGGTCCGTTTCTGCCATAGCTCATTTTTATAAGTCAAGTGGTGCTCCTGTGCCAGCACGCACATAAAGCCCATCAAATCCAGCCTGGGTCGTTGACGAGGCACTGAAGAAATGAAACCATGCAGCAACGTGTCCGAAAACTTTGTAAACAACCGGTGCGTGGAAATACAAGTATATTATGGATTTGTCATGATTTGTCTGAAAATGTGGTACCAACCTCCATAGCAGCTATCGTATTATCATACATTATCATAGTGTTTCTCACTGAAATGGAATTGTTGAGGTCTTCCCCCACTAACAACCCCAGATTGCCATGGCTCCACTGAAGCTTAGGAGAGGACTTTCCATCTTTCAACTCCAAACAGCAAGAATCTTCCCGGAGCTGCTGAACAATTGCCTCAAAGCCAGTCTTGACATCAAATTAACACACCCAAAGAAAACCAGACACTGCCTCAGATTGAGTGGGAGATTTCTACATTCTAACAAGATTCTAAGAGTCATCTCTTCTTCACAGACTAAGTTCCCTCTCATGAATTCGCAGAGCCAGCGACTCCAGTTAAACTGAGAACTGCGCGCTTCCAACCATGTAACCTGATGGCTGGGCTCCAACTGGGGTGCAGCCCACTCAGCACCAAACAAACAAATCATCCATGCAGGCAGAGTGACGCCAATAGAGCCGCACAAGGCGCACTTTCTTCATGCCCGGCTGACCTGCTGTAATGCCGGGATGCCAAGTGCTGGGGATACCATCAAACAGTGTAGATACTCACCTACCGGACCTACCGGACCTACCGGATACCAGGTGGATGCTTTGACAGGAACATGCTCTGGGAACTTTGGTTTTTCAGATAGAGTTTGCCAATCAAGGGGCGCTGCCTGTGTACAATTCCTCATTCACGGACTCCAAGTGCTCGTGATGCCACGGATTGCTGGCAGCCTGCTCATGTGGAGCCACAAAATCGCTCATGGTTTGCTTTCAACATCTATAGAATCTATTGAACATGATTGAACCATAACCATCTTTTTTTTGGTTGATATAATATATATATATATTATATATATAATCTGGTAATTTGGACATAGTTGGATACTGTATGAGCCATTCCCATCTCTGAATCATTTCAGCATTTGGATCGGAACTCGCTGGTTGCCATCCTCGATGGTCTCGCTAATCAGGTTGTCATCCCCCAAGGCCAACTGGTAGAGCTCCGAATCCAAAGCACTGGACAATGCATCCATCCTGCAACCCGGTGCCAATCACTGGCAACTATTCTTGCAAACAATGACCTGAAATGACTTGACAAAGTAACCTGAGATTCCATGGATAAACTATGATAAACAGATCAACATAAAACTATCAGAATGGTTCAAACATGTTCAAACGCACACTGCTGTCTTTGAAGATTTGTCAGCCTTGCCTTTGTTCCAAGGTTCTTCGGGACAAAGAATTCCGATGATGTCCCTGTCGGGCAACTGCGGATGTGTTCTCCTCGGAGGGTGACACACTCCACTCAGGTCGATCATCCAGAGTCCTGTTGAGAATCAGGGCCGCCCGAGGGTTCCCTTTGTAGGACACGAAGTCGGTCACACTGCGCTGATTGGTTCGGGCTTGTCGACGCTGATTCAATCGCGCATGTTCGCCTTGTGTTACGATTTCACCAGACAGAAACTGCTCCACCGCTTCAATGGGCACGTAGCCTGTCTTCTTCGCATCAATAGCATCAAACAACTCGATCACATCCCGCAGCAAGCCAAGATCGGGCTTTGCAATCTTCTGTTGGCTTTGAATCTTGTTCTGTTTTTGAGGTCGTTTGATCCATTTCATCATTGTCCAAATGTCCGTCTTTTTGGCCAAGGGGAAGACTGCCTTCAAGAAACCTCTGAGAGTCAGCTCTTGTGAAGCAGCAGGGGTGTGGATGGAACAGTTCTCTTCCGCAACTTCTTGGAACATCAGGTCCAGCTCCACCTTTCTGCGCCAGGCTGCATCTGCAGCACTGAGATCCTTGGACACCTGCATGGGTAAACCTGACTTCAAGAGTGAACGAATGCCACCACCTTGTGTGAGCCAGTAGTCACTTCGGTACAACTTGAAGGCTTCCAAGACAGCTGACCGTTTGAACAAACATCTCTCATCCGCCTCATCAGATGAGGTCTGAGACAGTTTGTCATCCGTTTGCAGCATGGAGAATGCCTTGCCACGAACGCTTGTTATCCTTTTCATGTTTTTTTGCACATCCCCTTTGCCCTTGTCGCTTTGAAATTCTTTCAGAACCCGATCAGCAATCGTGCGGCTTGGCTGGCTGCTACTTGAGATGACCTGTGGCATGCACAATGAATGCACTTAGCGCATGGTCTCGGAAAGGTGCATTGTCTGGTGACCTCCAATAAGATAAATCCCGATAAATCTGAAAGGCACTGACAAGAAAAGCTCCGACAAAAACTGGAAAACACCAGAGAACACCAAGTGACTGACTTGAGGGCTCTTTGCAAAGCTGTTGGAGTGATTGGACGAGGGACTCCTGCAGGTAGCACCCCACCACGGGCAAGATGATTCGAGCTGGCGGTCCACAAGTGGCCCTGACAAACCACCTTGTGCCGTCTGCACACTGCACTGTTAGGTCTGGAGCGATGCCAAAACTTTTGCACCTTTCTTCGGTACTCGCGCCTTGCAACATCATCCTCCACCTCTCCTCTGAGCTCTTTGCGGATTTCTGCTTCTCTTAATTCCAAATCCAAGTTGCTGCGAGTCCTTTCCTTGGCATCCTTCATCCGTTCAACTTTGATATGTTCCAGCTCCTGGTACAATGCAGATTCACGCGCAGACTGAACTGCCAAGAAGTAACCTTTGCGCCGTGGGAGCGGCTGGTCCAAGTCATCCACATAGGTTTTCACCATGGCACTGCTTGGTGATGAGACGTCCTCCTGCACCTTTCTCCGCCCCATCGTGTGCCATGGAGCTACAGATTCCACGTGCTCTGCGCGACCAGCGGAGAAGCGACGGAGTAAGGTGCCCACCACGTCATCTGTGGCCATTCTCGAAAAGGTGTCTCTGGACAGAGCCTGCTGCGGCCAATGGTTTGTCAGAGTTCAGCAAGGAACAGTCTAAGTGCAACAACATGCAATGACTGACATGCAGTGGGATGTTCAGTTCAATGCCCTATGCTGAGAAAGAAAACATGTTCTTTCTGCAAAGTCATGCAAAGTCTACATACTTGATCATACTTGATCACTTAAACCAGCGTTTCTTGGACAAGGAACGGGATCATGAGATCGAAACAGAGAAAAGGCCAAAGAATCCAAAACCGTCGGACTCGCTGAGACCATTCGCCGCGTACCGCTGCCCAAGCGCCACACGGCGCGTAGAAAGGAGGACAAGACTTTCCTGGCGACTCTCCGACTCCCTGAATTCGATGGCGAAAAAACGAGTTACGCTCTGGAAAAAAAAACAATGTTGGTCCTTCAATGTCCTTCATACACTAAAAGAGATGCCCAAAGTATCCCAAAGTATCCTAGGGATTCCTAGGGTGCATGGTCTTCAAGAAATTCCTATCCAGTCTTTTGGCTCCGATTCCACCCGCCTGAAGCTCGAATACTCCAGGAAGCCTTCCTCCGTGCACATGGCGAACAGAAAATTCACCTTCCAAGAAAAGTGGACAGATGTGGACAGCAAACCCCCAACTTGACTCGTCGAGCAAACTTGAGAGGGGGGGGACGAAAGGTAGGGGGGGAAAAGACAGGAGGGAGAGGCAAGAGAAGGTGCGACTGTTTGTAACGCAAGCACGCCGACGACGACGACGACTACTACTACTACTACTACGACTACTACTACTATGACGACTACTACTACTACTACTACTACTACTACTATGACGACGACGACGACGACGACTACTACTACTACTATTACTACTACTACTACTACTACTACTACTACGACTACTACGACGACGGCTACTACTACTACGACGACGACTACTACTACTGCTACTACTACTACTACTACTACTTACTTACGACTTACGACTTACGACTTACGACTTACGACTTACGACTTACGACTTACGACTTACGACTATATTTACACTGACTACGACGACTACTGACGGACGACGAAGACGGACCGAACGGAGACGGACGACGGTACGGGGAAGACGGAGAGGATCACGGACTAACGGACGACGGACGAGACGACGGGGGGACTGACGACTAGGTACGACTGCCGCGCCGTAAGGCGACGACGAAACACGACTGACGACGTACTACTACGGTACGATACGAGACTGAGACCACTACCACTGACCACGGACCATCTAACCACGACCGCGTACTACTACTACTACCACTACCACTACCATACCATGGACCCACGACGACTACTACTACTACGACTACTACTACTATAATACTACTACTCTACTACTTAACTACGCCCAGGCCGTTAAAACTTACATTCAATTGGGAAAGAAACAAGGGTATTAGGGAATATTAACTCCCACCCCCGTTAAACTTTACATTCAATTGGGAAGATCAACAAGGGTATTAGGGAATATTAAACTCCCACCCCCGTTAAACTTTACATTGAATTGGGAAGATCAACAAGGGTATTAGGGAATATTAAACTCCCACCCCCGTTAAACTTTGCATTCAATTGGGAAGATCAACAAGCGGATTCATGACTTCGTGGAAATTGCGTTGAAGAGTTTGCCGATTTCTAACGTTAGATGTACAAGGTAGGCATTTTGGATAAGAATCGGTTGGAAAGAAACTTTTGGAGTTTGAAAAGCTCACCCAAGCAGCTGGAATGTTTGTGTGCTTGTTGTTGGTGAATCGTTATTCTTGTAGGTATACCGTGTTGTCAGCACGCGGACTCGTTGGACGGGCCTCCAGGGAGTCGACTGAGCTAGTTGTTGACGCTGTGGAGGCGCTTCCGCCACGTCTGCATAAAGTATCGTTTTTTGTTCTGTACAATGATGTTCCGAACTCCGAATACGTGGACCCGGTGGAGGGGCCTCCAAAGGGTCAACCAAGTGAGGGGTTGACTCTGTGGAGGCTCTCCCACCGGGTCCACAGAAACTATTGTTTTTGGTTAGTTGTTGACTTTGTGATTTCTAGCAAGTTTACATAAAGTCCAACCGGGTCCACAGAAACTAATGTTTTTGGTTGGTTGTTGACCTTGTGATTTCTACTAAGTATACATAAAATATCGTTTTTTGTTCTGTACAATTACGTTCCGAACTCCGAATAGGTGGGCCCGGTGGAGGGGCCTCCAAAGGGTCAACCAAGTGAGGGGTTGACTCTGTGGAGGCTCTCCCTCCGGGTCCACAGAAACTATTGTTTTTGGTTAGTTGTTGACTTTGTGATTTCTAGCAAGTT